GAGTTAGTCTTGTTAGTGTCTGAGTTTAAGCTGGGGCCTGGACACAGTATTTTGATGTACACAATGCTTGCTTCGCAGATAGCACATACCATGGAGATACCCTGATCTTTAATTGTGATTTTTTTCTGGTACAAATTGAACTACATAATGAACTAATTGAATTACCTGTAGGGGTCTACAGGTAATTTAGCAACAGTGAGATATGGGGAAACAAGACTCATCAGTAGATGTTCTGGAATCACTGCTTTAGTCAGCAACAAGTTAGACCTTAGGATGGAGGAAAGGTTGCTTTATCAACTCAAAACACACCCAGACCCTTAGCTGCTGATGGTATTTATTGGCTTTTACAGTGCCTTGTGCACTAAGGGATTGCAAACTGTGCACACCTATGGTCCCACTACTGACAGTGCAATTGCATTGGGTAGAACACTGAAACCATTTGAAATGTCACAACAAACTAATAATGAATTAAAATGCCCTAGCTCATTATACCAGTGATTTAGGTAAGCAGAATGTAGGTAGCCTGGCACAAATGTCAGGGTAGATGGTCCTATGTCTTTATTAAAAAATAATAATAAAAAATAACACAAAACTGAGGGCTTTCAAATAAAAAGCGACCAGTAAGTTTAATTCTTGTATCTTACCCAGAAGCCCAGACGCTACTACATTTTCCTATTATGTCTAAAAAATTATATGAAACACTGACCACCTGCCTTCCCCTCTGTGGTTTAGGGGGTGATAAATGTCCGAATGAGGAAAAATAAATTAATTCAAAGAATACCCTGAAGCTCTGGAGCTTGAGCTCTGTCCTTTTCACAAAATATGGGTCCCATGATACAGGGAAAGGATGGTGGATAAAGCATCCCCTAAACTAGAACATAGGTGGGTGCGTATTTCATGACAGACTGTTTTAACTTTCTAAACAGTAGCCTCTTTTATGACCAGCAGTTGCTATTAATTATTTAGCTGAACACTTATTTATACGCTAAGAGCTAAATGCAGTCCTTTCAGTGGCAGCCTGGTGGAGCGCGGGTTGAAATCCAGAGCTGTGGATAGTCCTTCAGGAGGATATGTCTCATGCAGTTTCACTCAGGGAAGAATCCCTTTGCCGTCTGCTGTGTGTCTCTGATGATATATAAGCATGGGAGATTAAAACCTAGCCATTAGTAAAACTCTATAGCTGCAGGTGCAGCTGGGTGTCTGATGCTCATTTCAGCTTGTGACCACTTAGGGCCAAAGTTGCACAATTGTCCTGCCTGAAATTCTCTAACACTAACCTTGCTGGTGGCCCAGCTGGGGTTTGGCTATACTGTGGTCTGTAACAAATGCTTCAGCAGCTATATGTAAATGTTTTTAAATTGCTGTCTACATTACACCGACGGTATTGGGGCTGCCCCTCAGACTTCAGAATACCTTGCTGTAGCAGGTTTTGAGGGAGGGAAGAAACTTGTATGACAAACACTGTGTGATGTGAAGGAGGTAAGAGGAATACTTGGGTCACAAAAAACAAAACGGAAATTCAGCAGGCATTCTCCTAGTCAAGCAAGTAAATTGAATACAGCTTTTATTTCATCTCCCAAGTAAGAAGAGGGAGCCCCTTTCTTCTTGCTATTTTTCATAAAAGAAGCCCAACCTGCGCTGACTTCTCTATTTGCTCTAGTTCCACAAAAGACATCCCTGCAGCATTGGAGGGAGGATTAATTTCCTCTGATTGCCTGTACTTCAGGAAAGCAGCTGTGACCCTTCCTGTAGCCAGGGAGAAGGAAATGGGTTTTAATACTTCTCTGCTCCTTGCAGATCAAGTTTAAAACATCTCATCACAATATATTACTTCTGGTGCCAATGTGTTTTCTTCATTCAATACTGACACGGTTTCTACACTGTTGTGCTGTTGCCATGTGATTCTGGTAGCATTACTGTTTAGGTAAAATATTATTCATTTTCTATAGCAACTGCTAATTTCAGAAGAATCTGTGATTTCATTGTAATTATTATTACTGACAATAGTTGTAATAAATGTTTTGGATTGACGTGCATAGCTTTCATTTTCTTCCAGCAGCTGATTTTTTTATAATTCAAACAATTTTTCAAATTTAAATGTTGACATAGATAAAATAAATTCCTTATTTTTTTATTTTGCATTCTTCTGCTTGGCTTCCACTCCATGTGGGGCATAACTTTAACATCTCAACAGGGAGAAAAGAGCCTCGTTGCTGTGATATGACTATTCTTTTGCCTTTCTTGAAATGTGAGACAAGACACTTTAATGCTCCAAGCAAACTCTAGCACAGAGACCGCCCTCCTCCTTCTCATGTAGTACAGCCCCTGGGTGCTGGCTCCTTGCTCTGCTCCATCTGCTCTGGTCCTCAACTTCCTCCCAGACCTGAGAAGAAGGGATCTGTTCAGCCACCACCTTACACTCTACTCCTCAATCCTTGCAGGCTGTTTCACAACAGGGCTCCCCTCACCTTGGAAAGTGTGGAGAGCCCTCAGCTCATCTTTAGCTCTGTGCTCTCTTTCTGATATGACTCCACAGGCTAGGGAAATCACATCTTTTCTGCACAATGCAGTTGCCTTTTCCTTCGGTCATCCAGACCCCAGCCTGATGTGCTTTGCTGCTCATATAGTCTAGTGTTTGTTTTGCTCAGAAAGGTCCCTTTGCAGGTATGGAGAGCAGTTTCTTGGATGTGCCTAAAATGCTGAAGCATTATTAAAGCTTTGCAAAGCAAACATCTGTGTGTACATGCAGCTGAAGCTCAGCCAGCGCTATAGACATAAGGGCTTGCAAATCAAAACTGTTTGTGGGCTAAATCAGATTTTGAACATTTATTTATTTATTTTTGTTAAAAGATTTCCTCCTTTATTGCTTGTAGAAAAATCAAATGAGAAACATTTATTTCTGGTGGATAAGGTTAAATGTCACACTTTTTTTCTGTTTATCTGAAAACAGTCATGACTTCATGGTAACTCATCAGCATTTTCTTTGATCAATATTGCCCGGAGTTTGCAATATGTGGCCATGCTTTCCTTAAGCTATCTTATTATACCTCTAAGAATTCTTGTACGGTAAGGCTTCAAAAAATAATCTTTACTATTAGCATATTTCCTGTCCCCCCACTCATACTGAATGATAGTTGAACTCCAGAGCTCGTGATTCTCTGCATGCTGCCAAAACAGCAAAGTGTGATCAGTGCCATTACAAAGAGCAATGTAACAGCTATCACAGCCTCTAGACATCCATAAAGTTTTAATATGACTTCCAGAACTTTATAGTGTGAGTTAACAAGGTGTTCAGGCAGAAGTGTCTATATACTTATATATACATGCAGGTGGCCAGTGACTGGAGCATAATACTCTGTTCTTAAAGCTAATACTTCTGATTAGATCTACTCCAAAAAAGAGGAAGATAGAGCATCATCCCTGTAACCTCACAGAAGACAGTGGTGTCAACAAGAAATCAAGCTACTCTTGCTTTCATTTCTGAGGCTTTCAGATACAAGGCATTTATTATGAATCAAAAATGGCCCTGCTCTGAGGAAATGGCACAAAAAACCTAATACACAGTCTTAAACTTCTGCATGGAGCAATGCCATTAGGAACATCTAATCTAATTGAGCTCGTCATATTATTTGGATTGATAAGGTTCAGAAGAAAACTGAAAGCCAAGAATTTCCTTAGTTAAATGTGACTTGGCATTTTCCCCCATGCTCTTCTTTAGAGCAGCATTTCAGAAAGCAAATCAGACAGTGCAGCTTGGCTGATGGTAAAATGTGCATGATGAAAGTATGCAGACATGATAGGGCAAGACAGGGAAGCACCTGGCAGTACTGCCAACTGTGTAAACTTTATGAGCAAGGAGACTCTCATATTCTTCCCCAAGCTGAACATCTTTAGCAGAACGATCATCATTTAAACAATACTGAAGAAACTGGATGAAAATTACTGGATGCTATTTTTCTTTGGCTCTGATAACCTTCGGAGTACTGAGGTAGAAAAGGCAGAATAAGCTGTTACACAGGATAGGCCAAATTCTGAAACATTTATAAACAGTGAGGGGGAGTCTGATCAATGGGATTAGGAGCTGCAAAAGTTGGTTTAAAAAAAAAAAAAAAGGTAAATTCCCCAGGGAAAAGAGAATTAAGAATCATGGCTTCTGTATGTATGTATGGTTACACCACAGTAGTACTTGTAGAGAGAGACTGACTTAGCCAGCTCTAAACAATTCTCCTTTGAATGTTTATTCCCAGCAGCAATGACTTGGAGTCAGTGTGTCAGCCGTAAGATAAAAGCACCATGTTGCCTCTGTGGTCTGACTGTAGTAATCTGAGGAATCAATGCTGATTTCTTTGCTTTACCTCTTTCTACCTGATGTGTTCCCTGCTTCCATGCCACAAATGATCATGCCATTTTAAAAAGGTTGCTGATGGATGTTGTTTGGAAACCAAACTGCTGGAACAGAGCAGACCCGCATGTCTTGGCTTCCTCACACTACAGTTACTCTTACTTTAAATAGTGCATGTTTACTATGTACCCATAGTAAGCTTTCACATTGTCATTTTAATGCACTTGTTTTGCTTAACTTTGACTGCTAGATGGTAGCAAACAAAAACAAACTGTATGGAGCAGACTAAAGAACTACAACCTTATTTTTCTTTTTCCCTGTCACCTAACTTCCAGTACTCTAACTTCGGTGCTCTTTCACATATTTTGGCAGACAACTATTTCCCCTCAGTGTACATCCATCTATTTACATCCAGGGCACTTGCAAGGAAACAGGGCAAAGATCGCAAACTTTGAAAAAAATCCTTTGAATGCCAGGCTGTAGGCAGTTTTCTGAAGTACTTGCTGTACACAGATAGGTTCTAGGCAGACTATTTTACGCTCCGTAGGTATCATACCTGTTCAAGAGCTGTTCTCTTGTATCCGTACAGTAGCACCAACATGCACCCAGAAGTACAGGCTAACGTAGCAATACATGCAGAAGCTGAAGAATAGCTTACCTAGAGAAGAATCTCTCTTCCTAGTGTGCAGGAGAGAGACATCTGCTATTCGGATCTTCTCCCATGGCTCCAGGTAAACTAGAGAGAGTTTGAAATTGATAGCAGCTGTCTGAGCGGCATCCCGGGAAGGCTCCTCTTGCTCCAGCCCCAAAAACTGAACTCTGCCGGCACAGTCACATCTCATTTATACACAGGCTGTCCTTTTCCAAACAAGCAGCCAGCTGGAATGATTCAAACCTCTGCTCAGCGCGCTGTTAAAATGCAGCTTCCTTCTCGGGCATGGGGATTACACCAGGGAGCAGCCGGAGTACAGCAAAAAGGCTGCGGGAACTCTTTAATCACGCGAATCCCAGCTGCTCCTGTTACTACCGCCGCTGCCACCGCCGCGCCTCCTGTTTGCTGTAGTCAGCCTCCCTCTCCCTCAGCTGCACGAGTACCGAGGCGGCTTCGCAGGGCGGTGATTGGCAGAAGCGGCCAATTCCTCCCGCTGATCAACCCCGAGACTCCCAAGGACTCGGAGCTGCTCTGATGCCACGCCGGCGGCGGGAGGCTTCACGCAAGGCCGCCGCCACGGAGGCTCAGTCGGAGATGAGCCGCGTCCCCCCCCCTCGCAGCGCAGCGCCGTGATTGATGAGGCGCTCCCCGAGGATTCGCATAATCTGTCATTGTGTAGTTGGACCACCTCTCCTCCCGCCCAAAATGCGGGAGGAAAAGGCTGCTCGCTCGCCGCTTCCGATTTCACAGCCTGTGGGAAAAAGGAAAAGTTGAAAGAGTCATTTTGCTGGAGGGACAGGGAGTGCTCCAGGCAAGTGTGTGAAGGGAACCCCCAGAACCCCATCCCCAAATGCTAAAGGAGGCTCCAGAAAATCACATTACCGCAAGGTGTCTTGGTTCATACTCTTGCTGGGTCACTGATAAGATCACCTGGCAAAACAAAGGTTGTTTTTCATACAATAGTGCAGCACGACCAAAATTAAGCAAAGGTCACCTAGCCAGCTGGTTACAAATGATCTTGCTGATACCACCTTTGGGTGGATTCCAGCAAACTAGTGGCACTTGAAACTGCAAAGCATTTTTTTCCTGATGTATGCAACGCAAATTCCACCTATTTGTTGCATAATTTCTTGTTAAAATACTTTCTCTTCCAGCTAAAGCTGAAACCTACACCCCCAGCCAAGACACAGGATTGTTATGCAACTTTCTAGGGTGAAATTATATTATAGAGGAAAACCTGAACACTTCCTATGTTAAAAAAAAATAAAATAAAATTAGATTTGATACCAATCTAATTTTCAGTTTTTGCCAGCTTGACACCTTTCACTCCCGAACTGTTCTTTGTACGGTACACCTCAGAATTGAAATTCAGCCAATTCTGTGCGACAAATGTGAGGAGAAAATAGTTTTGTTCAAGGAGACTGGAACAAACCCATTCTGAGATGATGAATGATGCTGTAAACTCAGATTTGAATCATAGGAGGGTCAGCTCAACCTTTCATGTTTCCAAAATAGTGTAAATAAATGGTGTTCCATGAATTTTACCATTTACATCCTTCAGCTGGGACCTTCTGCATGAAGAGCTATTTACTCCATGTTAATATCCAAGATTTGAAGTTGGTAGATACTCCTGACTGAGGACTAATTTATTCCTTCTGGCTAAACTAGAAGCTCAGAGAAAATTAAAATTCAAAGTATGTCTGAGTCATTTCCTGCAATTTTTAATTACAAAGCGCTCACTGGGGTCTTTTTAAAATTCCTCACACCTATGGCTGATTCTGGATTTGGGATTTATTTTCCAAATTATTGTTGGGAAGGTCAGGAGTTGGGTTCTTATTCGACCTGGCTGGTGAGCAGGTGCCTCCTTGTATCCTGTGTGAACACTGAAACTTCAGCCAGGCAATAAACCAAGATCTCCGGTTCAAGTCAGGGATTCTTTTGCCAGCATTAAGAGTTGTGGTGCAATGGGGGGAAACCCACGGGAAAGTGGGAAATTCCTATTACTAATCTTGCTGCCACGGTTGCATGAGAAGAAAGCCTGGTGATGTTTATTCCTCTTGCTACCTGTCTGCTGGGCTCTCAGCTATGCTCAGAGCATCAGAGGCATCTCTGTGAGCGGCCAGGCTTTGCTGCAGGCACGGATGCATGGCAGGATGGCTGCCAGCTGCTGCCAGATGTGGCAGGAGCAGCGGTCTGCCCCTTTGAAGCTGCAGCGTGCCAGCGGGGCTGCTGCTGCAGATGCTCCCAGGGCAGGCCAACAGCCAAGTGGTTATGCATCTCATTGGCAGTGTATTTTAATTCAGATGCTAAAGTCGCTCTTTGATCTTCAAGCCTTGGCTTAATGGGGTGCACCACTAGATGAATTCAACATGAAGAAGCGTGGCTGTTGATTTGCACTGCCTCAGTATCTGCTTGCTTTGCTGGAGATTCGTTTTAAGCGGAGCATCAGGTGACTTACTGCAGTTTCTTGCCAGGGTTTGCCCTTATTAGCAATGTACAGAAATCAGCTGGCAGAATTGCTCCCATTCTTTGTGCAACCAGAAAAGCCCACTAACTCGGGAAAAAGGCAGTGTACCACTTGCATTTTCACTTCTCTCTGTTTGGGGTAGTACTGAGAGGCGAACTTGTCTTGCTCAGATACAAATGTGCTCCGGTGTTGTTCCCTAGGATGTCCTTCTAATCATGATATCATTTTCAAGTTCTGCTTTAGGGAAAAATACCCACACACACAAAAAATAAAATAATAAAAAAAAAATAAAAATAGGCCAGCAAGAAACAGAAATGAAATATGGGTGGAGAGACAGAGTAAAATGAGGTAAATTTTAATAATGAAGTACCATATCAATGAGATACCATGTTTATGCTGAAATCCTTGCCACAGGATGTGCATTTCCCTGTATCTTACCTGCAGCACAGATTCTGCATTAGCTGATGGAAATTCTGTGTTAGTTAATTCTTGTGTGATTTATTTCCCCCATGTATAGGTAGTTAATCTAATTGCCTAGCCCTCCTATCTCAGTAGTTCAAAAGTTGTAGATGAAACCTATTAGAATTTTGCCCCAAACCAGTATTACCTTCAGAAACATGCCTTTTTGCTTTTAGAAATGTGGCATTTTGTGTGTGTGTGTGTGCACGCATGCATTTTTTTTTTTTGTAATTTCAGCCCCTAGTGGAAGTGTGGCTTTGTTCTGTCCAAAATTTTTGGACCTTGCACACATTACAAAACAAACAAATGTTTTACTTTTTTAAGCCTAGTGATTTCACATCGATTCTCTGCATAGTTTAGTGGATGTTAAGAAGACTTTGAATTTTTTTTTTTTTATATTTTTTTAAGGGGTATCTGCATTTACAGTAAGGGCAACTGCTGAAAATTCAGCGTCCTTCTCCTATTTAGGTGCCTAAATCCAGACTGGTGTTCATAGCTGTCTGAAGTACTGTACTATCACTATAATGGCTGTGTACCTATTTTTAAGGTAGTTACCTTTATAGTGCATTATAAGGAAGAAAATGCAATTCTTTCGCTTCTGTGCTTAGAAATGCGATACAGAGCACGCAAATACTTTCTGAATTAGTATATACTATATGATATCTTTCTTGTTCACCTTTCTGGGCTAATATAAAATGTTCACAGAAATACTTGGGCTGGTGTTGCGTTGTTGTTACGCAGAACTTTGTGTTCTCCGATTGCCCTCAGTTTTATCACCTGTTATTAGCGTGCTCTGGTGGCACTTTAATAGGTATTCCCTACTTTTCTCCAAAACTGCCTTGCAGCACAAAGGTCTCACTTCAGAATGAAGTTGGCTGTGATACATATGAATGTCTCTTTCAGCTAAAGGCATCCGTATAGTCTTTATTGAAAGAAAGATGGCTTTTGACACTTGAGTTCATAATGAGTTTAAAGAAACAAAAATTGACTATGGCTCAAAGGACTGGCTTTTCCTTGAGCTGTGGAGACTTCTTAAACTTTCCTATAATTGAACAACAGTGTGGCTTTTATTAAAAACACAGAGCAGTTCCTCAGCTGGTGTGAACTGTCAGAAAATCCATTGATTTCAGAGGAACTATGACAACTTATGAGAGTTACAGATTAGTCTCTAATTCTCCAGCAGTTTCTCAAGATATGCAGAACTTAATTACACTCACATCAAAAGTGCAAGAAACATAAAGGCATAGCTTAATGCTTTTTTTTTTTTTTTTTTTTTTTTTTTTTAATATTCAAGCATACATTTCAGAAAAATCTGTCATTTTTTTGTTTGGTTGGTTTTGATGTGTAAGTTTTTGCTTTTAAAAAATCTGAATATTTTGACTGTGACCCAAAAGGTGTTAGAGGTTTTATACACTTAGCGATGTAGGGATGAAATATAGATACACTTGGAGCTGAGTTCCACGCATCACAACTCAGCTAAGGCATTCCTGTCTTCTCCTGGAAGCGCCTGCCTTGTTGTGGGTTATTCTTATTTCCCACACGGCAGTGGAGATCGTGCTGCCAGTAAGCATGAAGCACTGATTTGAAACAACATCTACAGCAAAAGTACTGCTAAGTCTTACAAGCAAAATAAAGCAGATATGCAAAACTACAAACTGGATTCCCTGACTGCTGGCTTTCTCCAGCAGTACAGCTTCTATTATCCTCCCCTGTTGATGTTTGGACACATTTCTTCTGCAAATGATAAAGGTATCACTTTTGTAATGACCTTTATTTTAACCTTTCATATCTTTGTGAAATAATGTCAATATCCTAGTGTGGTTTAGTTCCTGTAAGGTTTTGGATGTATTAGTTTCAGAGTGTGTGTTGATATAAACTAATATTGAAATATCTGTTAAACTAACATACATTCATTAGCATGTAGCATTAGAGCTGCTCTGCATCTCCCTAATTACATTACTGTTTTATGTCGTAAATGCTTACTCAACTACAAAAATATAAACTCTGCTCTTTTAAGTACTGTCATCAAGATACTATCAAAGCAAAAAATGAATTTGTTCTGCTCTGCCTGAAGCCTGATCTGCATTACCACTCTCTGAGTTATCAGCTTAATTTGACATTGAGAGAATCGCTCGCATCGTGTGACAGAGAAGCATGTCTTTGCACATCCTTAAAACCTTTTGGGCTCTTTCCCACTGTCTTCTGTACAGGGTCTTTCCTAGGTTCAGGTTGGGCCTCAGGTTGGTAGAAAGCTCCAGTGAAGTGAATGGGGTAGGCCTGGAAGTCAGAAAGAAAGGAGGCCACGTGTTCATGCAGTGGCAGAGACTGGAGGGCTAGAGAGGGTTTCTGTTCTGCTCAGCCCCCTTGTGATTTGTGTTTGCACCTGTAACACCGCGGCCTAACAGCACCGCGGCCTAACAGCACCGCGGCCTACCACCTGAGTCTAACAGTAGAAGTCCATACACAAAGGGTTACCTCTGTTATGGACAAACCACAAAGATTTTCACTAATTTAGGATTTCTGTAAAAGAGAAACAAGCCGCCTTGACTTGCAGAGCAAATGCCACAAATGAGGAAGAGGTGAAAAATGCACAATTTGACTGTGTCCAGGGATGGAAGAAACCAAGCCAAGAGATTGGGCAATGCTGTTGGTGTGGAAGGACTCTTCCATGCTAGACCACTCTTTTGCTAAGGTCCTTTAAGGTCTTCTGCTTTATCCCAGTCCAAACTTAGCGGAGCTATTTTTGAAAATAATGAAATTAAGTGAAGGAACCATGATGTGCTTGAAGGAATGGTCTGTGGCTCAGCCACTGGGGAGTAATGTGGATCCTTCATTTTAAGGAGCAATTATATAAGAAATTACAAAATATTTTGGGAAAGAAAGAAGTAATTCATTCTTGCTGCACTGTTGCAACCCTTGAGACCATGAGAACAGTTATCTCTGTATACTATCATCATTTGGTTGTCATATGCCAGCTGCATATCTGAGCCTTGCTAGATTTCTAAGTAGAGAGAGAGGGGAAAGGGGTTGTATCACTGAAGTGCATTATTTTCTGTTGGATAAATCAGCAAGTCAATACTTGAAATAAATCCTTTGAAGATCCGATGGCTAACAGCTCACGCAAGAGAACAAACAGTACAGTGAAGTTGCAGTAGGGCTGATGAGCTGCCTAGAGGCACGTGGTTTCTAATAAAGAGAAATGCAAAACAGCTGTTGTCAAAGCCACTATCATGTAGAAGAACATCATCCAGAAAACGAAATGACAACATATAAATCCTGAAACTAAGCATTTCTTCCATGATTATTAAGAATTAAGAAGCTTGAACTCTTGGCTTAAGGTATTAAGTGATTTTTTTTGGAGTTATTTAAACTGTGGAAGGGTTCATAAAGTAGCTTAATTAGACCATAGCTCCAATGGGAGTCCCCTTTAACATGTCTGTAGAGGCTCTTTAAATACTCTAATCCACTTCTGAATAAAAGGTGAAACTTGGAATGATACTTTCAAAGGAAAAACTACAAAGAACATTTATCTTTCTCTTTTCACTTTTCTGTCTTTGTGATCTAGATATCAAGCTTCCATTACATTCTAAGGATGACTTTTTCCTAGGTTACCTCTCACAAGCATAGTTTTTTATATACCCTAATTTATAAGTAATAAAAAAAAAAATCAAAGTGAAAAAATCTTTTACTAAACCACTTTAGAACTGGTATTCTGGCATTACTGTAATAAATGGATCCTGTTGTACAGAGTATTTTGTTTCACCGCTTAGGAAACTCCTTTTATTTTAGAAATCCCATGATCATTTGTTTCCTGCTTCATCTAGTCCTATAGGAGGAGCCTTATGCTTATGAGCTACCGCTGGTAATGCCCCAGCTGGCATGGGATATTGACCAGAGCCTTTGTAAATCAGTTTCTGTTCTCTTCTGTGCCTTTCTCTGCAAATCATTACCACTCTGAGGCAAGTCCCTGGTATTCCAGGGGTCTTGGTCTTCCCTCTCTTAAGTAAATTGATTTATTTCTGGTGATTATTGGGTGCATGGATGTTCTGTACTAGAAAAGTCTCCGGAATGCATTGTGCAGCTTTATATTTTAAAGGTGGCAAAAAATATTAGGAAATTGTGCTTGTCTTGAAGTGTTCAAACATATTTGCCTCCCTTAGATGAGTACTGCTGTTAACTTTGTTGGTATTACTTGAGTAAGGAAAATAAGTACTCTGGGTCCAGTGTATTTGTGTCACAGGAACTGCTGCTAGCTGTGCATTACAGGAAGGTTTCAGTATCTTAACTTTAAAAACTGTACAGGGATCTTGGTGCCAATGATCATGCCAGGCTCATGCCCTTATTAAACAGGAGCTCCATAGCACCTCCAGTCTGGCAGGAGGTCTAGCTTATGCCAGTACACTGGGAGCGCTCTCTTCATTTCCCTCGAGGGCCACAACATGATATACTGAACTGCATCAGATCAGAAGCCACCCCAAACCGTGAAACTGTGCTAAAACAGGAAGATGGAAGTATTTCCTCTACGGTCTGTTTTTAGACTGGTGCAACTGTGCTGTGCCTTAATGTTTAATAAAACATACAAAGCTGGCCTCTACAAAAGGAAGGCTAACATGCATCAAGAAATTTTAATCTGACAAAAGAAATCAAGATCATGATTTTATATTTATATTTCACAGACTTCCTTTAGAAATGAGAAATCTCTGCAGTGTCTGTACGGAGAACAGAGTTAATAAGTTAAAAAAAAAAATGTTTTTTAATGTCTAATGGCTATAGATTCATTATCCTTGAGGTAGGAATTATTTATAGACTTTCAGCACTGCTCTCTTAAATCAGGAGTGCAGCAGAAGGGATGTTTTTTTTGAGAAGATGAAGTGTTGTGTGGTAAGAATGGTGCACAATGATCATTGTTCTTTAAACAATTGATTTTCGATTCAGATTCCTTTTAAAAATATTTCTGTTTTCATAGGAAGAAAATAAAGGTGACTAAATTAAAATGATCAAAGGAAAACACGGATGGAGTAATCAAAACTGAGAGCACTCCAAGTGAATAAGCTCTTGATACTTGACTTAACCGTTATACTTCTTTCTCACGCCTCATTCCTTCTCTTATTGTACTACTCATGCTCGATGGCTTACATTTGAACTTATCTGTTTTTCTCTGTAATGATGTTCTGGAGTTACATTTTTGCTTTCTGCAAACTTCTGGGAGCTTTAGAAATAATATCCAAAATGTTGTTTGCCTGTTTATGCAACTGATGCAAATACATTATTATGTGGATTCTGGTGTTTTGTTTGTTTGTTTTTAATAGCAGAAAGGCATATACACTTTGAGCAGTGAGACTGAACTGAAATTACCATATATAAAAAACAAACAAAAAAACCTAATGGATATATTTATTACCATATGGTATGTAGGCTTGAATGAAATAGGTTAACGATAAGAGGGTAATAGAATGATTTTCCTGATAGATAAAGCTTTTATGGTAAAAAGAAAAGCATTTAAAGAAAGTAGATATTATACTAAAAATGTAAAAAGACAAGAATAGCAGCATGCTTCCTTCAAATCTGTTACATATTATACTCCCATAGAGGGCAATATTGTATAAAAGATAGGTTTAAGCCATGTATTAGGGATCTGCCAATTCATCTGTGTTAATATACTTTAAGGAAAATGCTATTAAAATAAATTTGATGCTGCATTTCCCTTCAGTCAGGCTGTGACTAATACCCACAATAATGCACACAAAACCACATAACAGAACCTCATTAAAGGTGAAGGAAATTAATTTTTTAGATTACCTAATTGTAGGTTGGAAAGTATAAACCATCACATTTTGGCTTATAATTTTCTTTTCAGTAACTGAATCGTAGTAATACTCTCTTCAAGCTGGTTGAGCAAACCCATAGGAAAATGCACACGGGTTTGTGTTGTCAGTCCTGGGAACAGGATTTTTAAATAGATGTGACTTGAGTACAGTGAAATTGTCTGCGTTTCTGTTGTATCTGGTACATTTTTCATGTGAATGCATCATCATGTTTTCATTTTCTCTTGTGCTTTTCTGGTTTTGATGTGTTGTCAGTACGAGGCCCTGGTTTGCAGTCTTTCTCAGCTTCCTCAAAAGTTGAAGCGTGGAAAGATCCTTAAAATAACTGCATGTATTAACTTGCTTTCCTACCCTTATTTACCTGAGTTTGAGCGTGACTGAGAAGCTGCCTGTAAGTTGTTCACATTGTGCTGGGTGTGAGTTCATGGATAATGATTGGGGAGAGGTGAGAACCCCTTTCAGGGCAGCAGGAGCCTTGCAGCTACATCTCTACAGTTGGAAAGAACTGTGTCCCCGGTGTTTTGGGTAACGCACTAAAATTCATCTGGGGAAAAATCCTTTACAAATGTCCTTAAAAGATTCAAGTCAGATTAGAGATGACAGTGATTAAATCTCAAGAAGCATGATTTTGACTGAAATTAGTACTGGCAAAAGCCCCCTGACTTAAACACTAATAATTATTTTTCTGAATAGCACGTTGTTTACTTTCAAACCTCCATTAAAAATGAAGCTTGCTTAATGAAAAATAGTTGCTTAAGACTTAGGAGTCTGTTCTTGCAGTTCATTGCACCTGGCTGGTCTTAGGCAGAGAATGAGCCGTCTTCTTTGAAATGTGCGTAGGTCACTTAGGGCCAGGTTTCTGTATTTTTCTGAATATTACCATGCAGTTCCTTCTAGGAGCAGTGCCACTGGCTGAGTCGAATACCTGAGGTGAGTATACCTCACCTGGAGGTCCTTTGATCATCCGGATGGAACAGCCTCTTAGAGTTTGCTGCCTTGCTTCCTCACCCCTGCTCATGAGCTGCTTCCAGATAAGCTCAGGGTGTGTGCTGTGGATGGTGGACTCTTGGGTCTTGACTCTGCATGAGTGTGCCATGCAGCTGAGCTGCTGCAGGGGAAACACACCCTGCGGTCCTAGCACAGATATGCCCTCAAAAAGGACTTCAAGGGTGTAAGCAGAGATATCAGAATTTGGGGCTACTTCAAATTGCTCTAGAGAAAAAATGTGTGTTTTTCCCCAGATTATCTCACCTAACTTGTTCGAATTTAGTTGTTATTTCTTTTACTTTACTTTTTTAAATCTATTCCAGTAGTGGTACTAACAACAATCACTGTAAATGTTCTCACACCATAGTTCACTCAGTGAGGTTTCAGCTGGTAGCACTGTTTGTTTCAGCAACTGCTTGCCATCCTAAGTGGTCCAGGGAGGCTTACAGCAGCGTTTCTCACTGTTGCCATCTCAGAAACCTTCAAGGAGTAGGAAAGGAAAGCAACCAGCAGGGACAGATACAAAAGTAGTTCTTCGGCCCATTGCATATGTTTCAGTGCTCCTACAGGGATGCAAAAAGCTCTTTCCATCTGCCAAAGAACCACAGCAAAACAAGGGAAAACATAAAGTGTATTTTAGGTATATCTGCTATGATCTCATTGGATACAATAGCTCATTACAGCTATGAAAACAGCTATTTGCTACTTTTCTCCAGAATTATCTGACTTTGTCAGCAAAGCGAAGCATCTGACCTTCTTTGTGAGAGCATAGGAAAGAAAAAATCATGAATCCTGATGCCTGTCGTGAGTTGCAGTGGCCCCTGATGGCCATGTACTGGGCTGTGAGGAGGAGGAGGCAGCAGAGAAAGTGAATGGAGGTACAGACTGAATGCAAATTATAGCATGAGAATTGACTGTACAGAGGCAGAGCTGGGCATGGTGTGGGCTCATGCCAAGTGATACCGGGATACAGAGGCACTGCCAGGTGCAGGAGCAGTCTACTGTCAAATGCAGGGAAGGCAGGAGCTCTGAGGTAACTTCCACAAGAGTAAGTGACGAAATCTCATAACTAGTTCAAGGAAAAGTTATAAGGGAGACTCTGTTCAGTAAATACTAATGGTATTTAGTGCTAGCAACACATAATAAAACAGCTTGCAAAATGTCTACTGCAGAAATCTATAAATAATGAAAGGGTAACATACTATTTTTTTTTCTTATTTCTATATTCTTATTCTTTCTTTGTCTTCATATAACAGCTCTAAATTCCAAATAATCCTTTTATTCTCTAATGTTAAATGTGAAGATTAATCCTGTTCCCAATAGCTGGCATGGAGACACTCCAGAGGTGCTATCAGGGGTGACAAAAACTGTTTATCTAGAACTTGTATCTAAGTTATCAAATATTTTGGCATATGAATACAAGAATCTTTTTTTCCTGTATGTTAACTTCTCCATCTCCATCTCCATACGGGGGTCAAGATGCAGCTATAGGGGCTTCCTGTCTGCTGCCATGGGATCCTGTGCCAGCAGCCAGCACCTGCACGGGGCCATGTGGCTCATTTTCTCTCCTCCACTGCTTTAGGAATCTGGAAAGAGTTGGAAGGAACAGGCTGTAGCTCTCTGTAGTAGTCAGGCTCTGAGAGCAGGTACATTCAACAAAGGAGAAGAGTTACAGGAAACTTGTGGTTAATAGAAGGTTCCATGTTCTCTAAATTACAGTTTTCAGCTCTTAGCTAATTCTTAGACAGCATTTCCCTGCACTTCTGTGCAACTCCTGTCTCATTAATTTGCATGTTCAATGCTTATTTAAAAGTGACTTGATGACACCTGGTGGCATTTGTGTCCATACATCTATGTTATCCTTGCTTAATGTAGTATAGCAGTGAAACATTTCTGTATGTTCCCTCTCTACTCTGCCCTCGTGAGGCCCCACCTGGACCAGGTTTGGGGCCTCCAGCACAAGAGCGACATAGAGTGAGCCCAAAGGAGGGCCATGAGGATGACTGGAGAGCTGGAGCACCTTTCCTATGAAGAAAGGCTGAGAGAGCTGGGAATGTTCAGTCTTAAGAAGAGAAAGCTCCAGGGAGACCTCATTGTAGCCTTTCAGTACTTAAAGGGATCTTATAAAAAAGATGGAGAAGGACTCTTTACTGAGATTGTTAATGACAGGAAAAGGGGAAATGGCCTTAAACTAAAAGAGAATAGATTTAGACTAGACATTAGGAGGAAATTCTTCACTGTAAGGGTAGTGATGCACTGGCACAGGTTGCCCAGAGAAGCTGTGGATGCCCCATCCCTGGAGGTGTTCAAGGCCAGGCTGGATGGGGCCTTGGGCAACCTGGCCTAGTGGGTGGCATCCCTGCCTATGGCAGGGGGATTGGAGTTAAATGATCTTTATGGTCCCTTTCAACCCGAGCCATTCTATGATTCTATGAATGTTGCATCACATCTTGGAGATGAATATTTTATATGTCCCTGGCAGAGCTATTGTCAATCTCTGTTTAAATAACATTCTTGTTTTCAACTCTTATAGATGCAATAGCAAAAATTAGTATTTCTGATTAGTATTTCTCTCTCTATTGGGAAACACAAGGATACTTTAGATTAAAAATTACAATTCAGAAATGTACTCCAGGAAGTATGGTTGATGCTTTCTAGAATGATGTGAGTCTGTGGTCACATAGACTACTGAAAGGGGGGTATGAAAAAAAAGGAAGCTTAATATTTGTTTTGCAAGTATAATTTCTATTCTATTTAGGGCTAAATTCAGGCATGTCATTTCAAAAACAGTCACAATAATGGAACTGCATCCAATTGCAATGGATTTGGACATGGCATTGACAGAAATACACCTTACCATGAAGCAACAGGTAGCTCACATTCAGTCAAGAGGGAGAAAAAGAACAACTTCTTTACATACAAATTTTCTCAATTTCCATTTCCTTTCTTTCTTTACTCCTAGCTGGCTAAACATGAAATGGATCAAAAAGGGTCAGCTGTTTTTTGGTTTCAGATTCTGCTTTAATGGAGTCAAGTCAGTCTTTCCCTTCCTGCTTTGAGTTGTGCTGTAGTCACTTTATGAACCTCTTTCCTTTTTCCCTCTTCTAAGAGTTACCTAGAAAATGTGATGATCTGAGAAAATCCCAAAGGCTAAATAAATATATGAAATTGTTCTCTTTCTGACAGAAGTTGGATTTTACTAAATTCCAGCTAAACAAAGCATACATTCTTTCCAAGATGGATTTAATTTGAAAAATAAATAAAAAATAAATCTTACATTAGGAAACTCCAGCTTTAACTATAGAACTGTCTCTAATACACTTTTGAAAAAAAAGCATTAACACTTCACTATTTAGCAGCACATTATTCAATAATCAATAATTCTTCAACAATGCTTGTTTTAATTGTCATTATTTTACTGCAAATAAGTCATAGTAAAGATATTCCATTACAAAGTCTTTATGGAAAATAAAGACGTGTCAATAACATGTTTTGAAATATTGTATAAGTCAAAGAAGAGCATAATTATGACAATGGGTCTGTCTTCCATTACACATGAGTGAGGCATGGAGTAAGGATAGTAGTATTTTCTTCAGAGCTCTGCTCTGCTTAACTTCAACCAATCTGTGTAACTTCTGGGCTATGGATATCCCCACCATAACATGGACATAAGAATTTTAGGTCCATTATACAGCTCCGTAATCTTAAAGGCTTTGCGTGGCTTGGTGTGAGGTATTACAGCACTACTTCCACAACAACTGAAATGCTGCCAACAGAATTAGAGTTGAAAGATGCAAAAAGAAAGAGAGATTGATTTAGAAATGGAAAGATATATAGCAAAATGTGTCCTAGAATCTTAGTCATGCAAAAGATTCATTTAAGTTTTAAGGTGTTTCTCCCTCTTCCCCTTCTCGTTTTCTCTTGCTGTTCATGGAAAATCAGGGCTGGAAAAAAAAGGAGGGAAAGCCTAATATTTGTATTTATGGTGTAAGAATAGATAATTATTTTTATTCCATGTGAGTCTGAGGTCAGAAGCTCATTTTGGGCCATTCCAAAAGTTCTTTATCCTGCAAGAGGATGAAAGCCATTAGTTCCCCACAGCTTTTGCCAGACCAGTAAGCTGGGCTGTACAGAGGCAGCAGTGGAGGTAGATATTAGGGTGCAACGGCCCCAGAGAAACTCTGGGCACCCCTCACCCCAAATGGGGCCCAACAGGTGGTGGGGAAATCGCACAGGGTCAAGCACAGCAAGCTGGCAGCTGTTCAGCCACTCATCCAAAATGCTGGTGGTTGGAAGCCATCCAGGTCATAGACACAGGAAGCCATCATGTTAATGATTGGGAGGGCTATCCAGTCATTTCCTTCCTTTTTATCCTAATCTTTGTCTTTTATGGGCACTGCAATATGTCTGACAGAGATCCAGCTTCCATGAACAAGTCCCTTCAGCCTTTAACATTCCCTCATTAACGAGGACCGTAGAGGAGGCCAAAAATCACATAATTTGAGAACGGAAACATCAAGATACTTTAAATGAATTGGAAAAAAGCCAACACAATTGTAAAATCTGCAGAGGCATATTTGAAACTATTTTTTTCCAGTGTATGTTTAGGGGCCTTCTAGAGTATGTTTGGGAGGCTCACAGCTTGGAAGGCATTTTGGGTGAAAAGATCACTTGTCATTAACTGGAGTGGGCATAGTGAGATTCCACTTTGGTAGAAATTGTTTAGTTTCAGGGTAAAACAGTCAGAGGGTGCACCTGGTGTGGTATACTCTACGATTCAAAGGTCTTGCATGACTTACAGTTAACATATCTGCGGGAAAGCTTACCCTAATTAAAAATGTAATAGAGAATGCAAAAGTATTTAAGGTTTACTAAACTAAGATTCAAAAAAAGAAAATGGTAAAAAGTCGTCTTCATTGACTTGTTCTACACTGCTTTTCTTGTTTTGTGGCCGTGTAGGCTTGCACAGAGTAGATAGTATTAGAAGGGAATGCTATTAAAGTCAGCATTTCACATCCGCTTTTCCAGACACCAAGCACTTGTAAAACAAAGATGCAAATCCAAGGTGAGTCACAGCTTTGCACTCAGTTTGGGTAAACGGGCAAAGCCAGCAGTATGCCAAAACACTGAACTCTCTCAGTACCTCAGCTGTCAACAGAGTTCACTTTCTTGTGCAGACAGGACAAACAGCCTAACAAAGGATTTAAAAAATCACAGGGATTATTGCTTGGATTTCTTTAACGTGATTACTAAAATTTTCCCAAGTCAGCAGCCAAAAATGAGCTTATTACTGTGCCCATCACAGAAATCAATTCTGTATCATATCGAAAAACACTTCTATTTCAAGGAAATGCTAATATCATTTAAAAGCAAAATGACTTCCTCATCATTCAAAATTCTGCCTACCGTTTGCAGATGACCAAAGAATATCCCCAGAAAACAGGTGTACTTAATTGTAATTCAGAACTGCCACACAGTTTCCTGTGCTGAAAGAATGAAGCAAACAGCCAGCTGAAATAAAAACAGGTGTTTCAAACCCAGCAAGAAGATATGAACATATCTTCTAAAGCCCTGCTATTAGAAAGCAACAA